CTCACATTTCCCCCTTTTGAACATTAAACGCTAAAGATAAAATATTATCTTTAAAAGAATCTTTGGGCCCTAGCCGGTTTGGCTCAGTGGACAGAGCATCGGGCCTGTGGACTAAAAGGTCCTGGGTTCAATTCCAGTCACCGGCACATGTCTAGGTTGCAGGCTTGACCCCCAGTAGGGGTGTGCAGGAGGCAGCCGATCAATGATTCTTTCTCATCACTGATGTTTCTCTCTCTCTCCCTTCCTCTCTGAAATCAATTTTAAAAATATATTAAGAAAGCTAATAACCTTTGAGATTTTAGCTATGGGAATAGAAACAATACTTTCAGGGTACTAAGCTAATCAAGTGTCTTGTAATTCAGGAAATTTGAATTTTACTTGGCTCAATGGGCAGATACGCTCATACGTGTCATTTCATGTGAGAATACAGTTCGGAAGAATATACATATCTGAGTTTAAATGTTTGAGGACTTCTGTTTTCCTTCATGTAAAATTAAGCTTTTGTCTTCCATTCCCCATTATTATGAAAAGTTATTCATGCAATGTTAGAAAAAAAAAATCACGTTAGTTATACTATTTCATTTTAGCAATTCTTCAGCAGCTTTCTTTTTCTAACTAGTTTTCATAGGATAGTCTGTAAGTAATCTATTAACTTCACCCTCCTCTCTTATAATCCCATTATTTCCCAAAAGTGCATTTCCTTTATGGAGGGATAATACATTGATCTGGAAAACACACAGTATCTCAACGAACAGTATTAATCCTGTAGTAGATACTTGTTTTTACATGGAAATTATTGCCCATTAAACATTATTGGCCTGACTGGTGTGGCTCAGTGGTTGAACCAAGAGGTCACTGATTTGATTCCTGGTCAGAGCACATGCACGGGTTATGGGCACAACTTCCCTGTTGTAACTAAAAAGTACTTTATACGGATAGATCTTGAGATTATGCAAATATCCTGCGCTCCAGTACACTCTCACCTGCCAGTTTTATTTTACTTTATTTTTAAAATTGATTTTGGAGAGGAAGAAAGAGGGAAAGAAACATCAAGGATGAAAGAGAATCATCAATCAGCTGCCTCCTGCACACCCCACCCTAAAGATCGAGCCCACAACCTGGGCATGTGCCCTGATCAGGGGGGAATGAACCAGTGGCCTCTTGGTCCTTGGCTCGAAGCGCAACCACTGAACCACACCGGCCGGGCAGAAGGTAGTTTTTTTTTTTTTTTTTTTTTTTTTTTTTTATTAATAGAAAGATATAAATGTTGGGGAAAGACTGAGCTGGCGGTGTGACTTGGGAGTAGCAGAGATAAGCTGAATTAATGTATTTCGGAGAGCGAGCCCGAGGTAGAAACCTTGGGGAGAGGCTGTCAAAACAGAGAGAAGCCACTGACAGAGTTTATGTCCTGTCGGGTCCGGTGAGTGGGAAGAGCTGCAAACGCAGAGGGAGTGTAACTGTAGCTTCACAGCTATCAGATCTCAGCGGGCGGGCGGCACACTCTATGATCAGGACACCTTAAGGAGAAAGGCAGGAACAGAAAGCCCGGAGGTGCCGAAACCGGTGTGGCTCAGTGGATAGAGCGTCGGCCTGCGGACTGAAAGGTCCCGGGTTCAATTCCGGTCAAGGGCATGTGCCTTGGTTGCGGGCACATCTCCAGTAGGGGGTGTGCAAGAGGCACCTGATAGATGATTCTCTCTCATTGATGTTTCTAACTCCTTATCTATAAAAAAAATATATTAAGAAACAAACAAACAAAGAAAAACCAGAAAGCCAGAGGCCAAGGAGAGGGTAACTGGAAGCTGAGCAGCACCTGCTCACTGGCGCCACCTTGAGGTGGATCTCGGGACATCAGGGCCAGGAAAGGAGTGGGTGGTGGATGGCATTCTGCACAGAGGGCTGTGTTGGGTCTGGCAGGCTGGGCAGAACATCTTCAGGTGGGCGAGTCCTCTCCTGGTCTATCCCCTTGTAGGCATACGCCCTGGGGTGCACCCCCAAATCATGTCCCCTCTCTTCCCAGGGGCATCCCTGCCAAAAGGGTCCTAGGACTGCAGAACTGAGGAACTCGCTCTCTGTGGAGGGGCTGGAGCGATGGCCAGGCTGCCCCCAGAGAGGATGGGTGGAGCCAGGAGTCGGCCAGTCTGTGAACTGGCAGTGGAGGCTGAAGCCAAAGTTCCCGGGAGGACAGAGGATGCTGCCGGAGGGAGCGAGGGGGTAACAAGAAAACGAAAACACTGAACACGAAAACAGAAGGAGGGCCTGGGGCCCAGGAGGCTCTTCCAGAAACTGCGAGGCTGCAGGTGCCGATGGACCGGACCATCCAGCATAATAAAAGCATCATATGCTAATGAGACCGGACAGCCGAGCGACCGTCCGGACGGCCTTCCCGATGAAGCCTGGTCTGCGAGGGCCGAGCCCCTTGCACAAATTTCATGCGCCGGGCCTCTAGTGCATAGAAAACAGGACTCTGACCACAAAGTAAAGCAACTTGTCCAGGAAGCAACTTGTCCAGGAAGCCAACCTCTGACAGACAACCACCAGCCCAGAAAAGCCAGCCTGCTCCGAGTCAGGCTTTGCTTTCCCTCGCCATCCTCTAGGGCAGTGTTTCCCAAACTTTTGACATGTGTGTACCCCTTCTATAATTTCTGTAACGCTGAGTACCCCTGGTACTCATGAGAACGTAGAATTAGGCGCAGCTAAGCACGGTGCAGTGCATATCCCCACCAAACTCCGGTGCAACGCGTACCCTCACCAGACTCTCCCCGTACCCCTGGGGGTACACGTGTCACACTTTGGGAAACACTGCTCTAGGGGGATGAGCCGTGACTTCGAGCACCCAGATGGCCCTGGCTTGCTGAGCAAGTGCTGGCTTCCCTAATTTCCATCTCCACTTCCGACCTGGGACCAACCAGGGTCAAACACCCAGGATGCCACGCTGCTGCGAGTGATGGGCAGGCCTCCTGCTTCCTCCCACCAATAGCCTCCCATCGGGCCACCAGAACCTTCCCTTTTTGCTGCCATAACGGTCTCCCTCTCCCCTGCCTGCCTTTGGGACTGTGCCAGATGCAGGGGACAGTGGCTGACCGCCTTGTGATAGCAAGCTCCGAATAAATACCCCCCCCTTCTCAGGTGCTTGGTGCTTGTCTACCCCACAGCTATAATCAGGAGGAAGGTGATTCAGGAGAAGTGAAGAGCACTTGGGAGGAAGAGAAAGTCAGCTATGTGCCGAAACCGGTGTGGCTCAGTGGACAGAGCATCGGCCTGCGGACTGAAAGGTCCCGGGTTCGATTCCGGTCAAGGGCATGTACCTTGGTTGCGGGCACATCCCCAGTAGGGGGTGTGTACAGGAGGCAGCTGATTGATGTTTCTCTCTCATCGATGTTTCTAACTCTCCATCCCTTTTCTTTCTTCTCTGTAAAAAAATCGATTATATATATATATATATATATATATATATATATATATATATATATATATATAAAGTCAGCTGTGAAGGGAGGAGGGGGATTCTGATTCTGAAAAGAAAAGGAGAGGATTCATATTTTACATATTGCTTGGTAGGCCTTTTTTTTTATAAGTATATTTTTATTGATTTCGGAGGGTGAAAGAAACATCAATAAGGAGAGAAAATCATCGATTGGCTGCTTCCTGCAAACCCACTCCTGGGGACCGAGCCCGCAACCTGGGCATGTGCCCTTGACCGGAATCGAACCCGGGATCCTTCACTCCACAGGCTGACGCTCTAGCCACTGAGCCACACCAGCTAGGGCACCAGCAGTATTCATTGTAGGGTGAAGTGAGAGGGCCACTGGTCCCCTGTCCACATTGCTTTGGGAGCTTCTAGGGAGAAGGGAATGACCATCGCTACTGTTCTATTGCTTTTGTGATCCTAATATCATTTTTCTCCCAGACCCAGTCTGGGAAGTGAATATACTGAGGGACACCTTCTGAACACGAAGGAATAAATCTATAACGTGTACTGACTTCTCTCCTGTACCCTTTGTTCTTTCTCCATATAATGTTGCCTGGTAACTAAATCCTAATATATCATGAACTACAAAGAAATCAAACTCCAATGGCCTTTTCCAGACATTTTTTTTTGTGTGTGTGGGTGCCAGACGTTCGACCCTCGAGGCAGGAAAGTCAGGAATAAAAACTCACACGCACGTCACTGGGTGGCTGATTTTAAGCCAGAAAGGAGAGGCACTCAGACCGGTGCTTCCCACGGGAGAAAATGATAATTAAAATTCATTACCAGCGCTAATTCATAGGAACCTGTCATTTTGTGGTTGACTTCGGTTTTTTAAAAAATGTGTATTTTTATTGATTTCAGAGAGGAAGAGAGAGAGGGGAGAGAGAGAAGCATCCATGATGAGAATCACTGATGGGCTGCCTCCTGCACGCCCCCTGCTGGGGATCGAGACCACAACCCGGACCTGTGCCCTTGACTAGGAATCGAACCGTGACCTCCTGGTTCATAGGTTGATGCTCAACCACTGAGCCACACCTGTCGGGCATGAGATGATGTATTTTTTTTTTTTTTAACTTCCATTTGATGGGACAATTAGCACACTGCCCCCTGTCCATTCGGGGTCCTCATTTTTGGCCATTACGGAACAGACGGAACCCTCATTAAGCAGAGGTCTTCAGAAACACAGACCAGCCGAAACTGGTTTGGCTCAGTGGATAGATCATCGGCCTGCAGATCGAAGGGTCCCAGGTTGGATTCTGGTCAAGGGCATGTACCTTGGGTGTGGGCATATCCCCAGTGGGGGGTGTGCAGGAGGCAGCTGATCGATGTTTTTCTCTCATCGATGTTTCTAACTCTCTATCCCTCTCTCTTCCTCTCTGTAAAAAGTAAGAGTCTCGGCGGACCCAGAGGAGAACTCTGGGGACCACGTGCGGCTGGGGGTGACCTCTCTCTACTGCCCGGGCCCTCCCCCCCAGCTCTCTCGGCCCCCCCGCCCCCCGAGAGAGAATGTTTGTTTGTTACCTCTTACCGACATTTATTTTGGCAATTCTTTTCCGAGAGCCCGTCCTCGTCCTCTCCCATGATGTCCACGGCCGAGAAGATCAAGGCCACGAGGATGGCGAAGCAGCAGACCAGGGCGAAGACCACGATGCACCTCTGCTGGGACTGCGGAGAGGAGGAGGGGGGGTGGTGAGAAGATGCTCGGATGCCAGGAGAACCCTCTGGGCAACCGTTCCTTCCCTCACAGCCTGAGAAGGGCTGCTCTGGGGCAGATGCCTCAGCCCTCCCTGCTCCTTCAATCCTCAACTCAGACTTCCAACGCCCACACCGTGTACGGGAGAGCCTGCTCAATAATTCAACCGCTGCCTCGAGACTTCCAGATGAGCTAGCTCTTCTTCCTTCTCGTCAAAAGCAGCCAGGCCCTGGCTGGTGGGGCTCAGCTGGCCGGCATCGTCCCAGGCACTGGAGGGCTGCTGGTTCGGTTCCTGGTCTACCCATCACGAAGGAGGCAGTCCATCTATGTTCTGCTTTCACATTGATGTTCCTCTCTCTCTCTCTCTCTCTCTCTCTCTCTCTCTCTCTCTCTCTCTCTCTCTCTCCCTCCCTCCCTCCCTCCCTCCCTCCCTCTCAAAATATCTATTTAAAAAATCGTTTTTCTCCTTAAAAAGTCATCCATTTACTGACTGATTGATTGGTTTGTTATTAATCCTCACCCAAGGATATTTTTCCATTAATTTTTAGGGAGAGTGAAAGGGAGAGGGGAAGACGGAGAGAAACATCGATGTGGCAGAAACACATCGATTAGGTGCCTCCTGCATGAGCCCCAACCAGGGCCTGGGCCTGGCAGGAGGCTGCAACCAAATTACACGCCCTTGACTGCAATCCACCTGGACCTTCAGTCCACAGCCGACACTATATCCACTGAGCCAAACCAGCTAGAACTAAGATATCTTTCTTTCTTTTTTTTTTTTTTTTAAAGCTGTCAAGAAAAGTTCACTACAAGATCCATGATCGCACATTAAAAATGAAACACCAAGGGGCTCCATAATATTTTCTTGCTGCTGCTATGACTACCACCACCCCCGCCCCCCAAACTGGAATCGAACCTGGGACTCTGCAGGCTGACGCTCGATCCACTGAGTCAAACCAGCTAGGGCAAGTTTTATTTTTTTATGCATTTCTTTCCCTCTTGATTTTCCGTTTAGTTCTCTCTTTGCTCTACTGCCACAAAAGCTTCTGTCTCTGCCTTTTGTTTATTTTTATCTTTAAATGGAAACTGTGACAATTTTCATAAACACAAAATCCGCTAACTACTTTCCTCTTTTTTAAAAAAAAAAAATATATTTTATTGATTTTTTACAGAGAGGAAGGGAGAGAGATAGAGAGCTAGAAACGTTGATGAGAGAGAAACATCGACCAGCTGCCTCTTGCACACCCCATACTGGGGATGTGCCCGCAACCAAAGTACATGCCCTTGACCGGAATCGAACCTGGGATCTTTCAGTCCGCAGACCAACGCTCTACCACTGAGCCAAACTGGTTTCGGCCTACTTTCCTCTTAACTCTAGCATTTTGGGCATCGTGAGGAAGGCAGAATCTCGCCAAGACTAGAGAATCCAATATTACTTATGTCATCATTTTTTTTTATGGCCGAGTAGTGTCCCATCGTATATATGTGCCGCGCCTTTATGTAATCATCTGGGAAGGACACAGGCTGTTCCCAAGTCATGGTTACTGGGGATATGCTTTGGTTTGAAGAGGAGGCTGCCCTCAGAAGCGGTTAAAGAAGACATGTTGTCTGCTATGTATTTTATTTTTTAAAGTATACATTTTTATTGATTTCAGAGAGGAAGGGAGAGGGAGAGATAGAAACATCAGTGATGAAAGAGACTCATGGATCAGCTGCCTCCTGCATGTCCCCCCACTGGGGATGGGGCCTGCAAGCTCAGCATGTGCCCTTGACTGGAATCAAACCCAGGACCCTTCTGTCCGCAGGCTGATGCTCTATGACCAGCTAGGGCAGTGGTTGGCAAACTCATTAGTCCACAGAGCCAAATATCACCAGTACAACGATTGAAATTTCTTTTGAGAGCCAAGTTTTTTAGACTTAAACTTCTTCTAACACCACTTCTTCAAAATAGACTCACCCAGGCCATGGTATTTTGTGGAAGAGCCACACTCAAGGGGAGAAAGAGCCGCATGTGGCTCATGAGCCACAGTTTGCCGACCACGGAGCTAGGGCAGTCCCTTTGTCTTTTTCACCCAGTTCCTCAACCCCCATTCCATCTGGCAACCCTCAGGTTTATTCTCCGTGTCTATGATCTGTTTCTGTACTTTGTTTTATAGAGTTCCACACAAAAGTGAAATCGTATGGCATCTGACTTCCTCTGTCCTGGCTTATTTCACTTAGCACAATACCCTCTCGGTCCATCCACATCGTTGCAAATGGTAAGACTTTATTTTTTTTTCATGGCTGAGTAACATTCCCTTGTATATAAAAGATCAAAGACCTAATTAAAATAGAGATGCACAGGCTTGTGGACAGAAGGAACAATAAAATCACAGTCATGTTGCGCATGAGCTGAAAGCTGAGTAGATCCAGCACTGTCCTGCTAATAACAACATCGAAGATGTAATCATGGCTGGGAGTGACTGAGATGGGATGGAGGGAAGACAATTAAAAGTCATGGGTGCCGAAACCGGTGTGGCTCAGTGGATAGAGTGTTGGCCTGCGGACTGAAAGGTCCCAGGTTCGATTCCAGTCAAGGGCATATATCTTGGTTGTGGGCACATCTCTGGCAGGGGGTGTGCAGGAGGCAACTGGTCGATGTTTCTCTCTCATGGATGTTTCTGGCTCTCTAACCCTCTCCCTTATGCTCTGTAAGAAATCAATAAAAAAATATATTTTTTAAAATGTCATGGGGAATCTGGGGTGTTGGGTGAATCCTCAAGTCGATGGAGGGTTAACAACAGGAGCCTGGAAAGAGGGGAAAGCTGGCCATCGGCAGGCCACCTGCAGTGGCAACGAGTGTCCCATCCGTGTCAGTAAATAAACACCTTTTAAAGTGTGGAAACATAATTATTCTCTGATTTTAAATTCTCGACTCCTGGCATGCACATTAATTTTCTAATTAATCAAGTGAGCATTTGCATTTTAATGTGCATCTTATAATGACCTACGCCAACAGTTTTCATAAACCCAGTCATCTGTACCATGTCTGCTCACCCTGTTTAGACGTTATTTATGGCATTGCTGTGGTAACATGCGCCATCTAAAACAATGTCTACCACAGTCCCCACAGGGCGATGAGCATCTCGCTGTGCCAGAATTTAAAATCCCCTCAAGCGCTCTTAGAGGGACAAACATCAGCGTAAGAGTTTCTGAGCGGTGCCCAGGCAGCAGACCGAAATAGATATGCCCCACTCTGACTTTTAATGCCCTTCCTTTTAATACTATAAAATGATATAAGACGCAAGCCCGTCTGCTTTGCAGAGCAGACATCCGTTCCGCTCTCTCTACCGTGGTCCGTTGTGTTTCCTGGGAGATGAAGATAAACAGTGGCCCCTAAAATACATCAGCATCCCCTTCAGAGCTCTGTGGATGGATGGGAGCCCCACGACCCTGGATGTCGGCTGCCCTTCTCCTGTTTTGAGCTCAGAGAGATACAATCTCATCCACAGCACAAGCCTGGTGCCCTGCAGAAGGCTCCTCAAATCTGCTCTAGACCAGTGGTCGGCAAACTCGTCAGTCCACAGAGCCAAACATCAACAGGACGACGACTGACATTTCTTTGGAGAGCCCCATTTCTTTTAAACTTCCTCTAATGCCACTTCTTCAATGCAGCCTCGCCCAGGCCGTGGTGTTTTGTAGAAGAGCCACACTCAAGGGGCCAAAGAGCTGCATGTGGCTCGAGAGCCGCAGGTTGCCGACCTGCAGTTCTATACCTTCGCTAGAGTGTTAAAAAGCCTGACGTAGTTTCCTAGGAATAATAGTACAAATTATTAAAGTAACTGCCCAGATAAGGATAGACTCTGGCCAACTGGAAACAGAACAACAACAAAACCTTACAGTGCTGGTACTCAGCAGAGAGAAACAAGGCGAGATATCCTAAAAACTGTGTCTTTCCTTGTTCTCTGCTTCAACTTAAATATATATATATATATATATATATATATATATATATATATGGAGTATATATATATATGGAGTATATATATATATATATATGGAGTATATATATATATGGAGTATATGATAGGGTATATATATATATGGAGTATATATATATATATATGGAGTGTATATATATATATATAGAGAGAGTGTATATATATATATATATATATATATATATAGAGAGAGAGAGAGAGAGAGAGAGAGAGAGAGAGAAAGAGAGAGAGAGAGGAAGGGAGAGGGAGAGAGAGAGAAACATCAATGAGGACAGGGAATCATTGACCGAGCCCACAACCCAGGCATGTGCCCTGACTGGGAATGGGACCATGACCTCCTGGTTCATAGGTGGGCGCTCAACCACTGAGCCACACTGGCGGGCTGCCTGAGCTCTTTAACATCCACTCTCTTCTTAGGATTGATCTGTATATCCATTTCCCTCTGTTGGCACATAAAGAATATGCTCCAAAAACATTTCCACGAGCGAAGTCCTGCAAAGCAGCTACTATTTGATGCCAAGGTCAGAATGAACCTGGTGCAACTGCTAATTTCAAGGACTGGAACGTTGGAAATGACAGGGATGATGTGTCTGCTGCTGCGGTGGTGCTGTCGCAGGGAGAGATAAAGGTTTAGCATTTCAACCTGCGGTCTGCCGCCCGTCCGTCTGCCCTCAGTCAGACCGGCTCAGGTCATTCCTGACTTCGCCCTCAGGAAAACCATGTCCTCAGGCGGGCAAAGCTCAGACAGGAAATATAGTCAATAATCTATACTAATAAAAGCCTTGGGGGTGATCAGGCCACCAGGGGAGAGTAGTTGGGGGCAATCAAGCTGGGAGAGGAGCAGATAGGTGTCAATCAGGCCATCAAGGGAGCAGTTAGGGGGCAATCAGGCAGGCAGGTGAGCGGTTAGGAACCAGTGGTCCCGGATTGTGAGAGGAATGTTGCACGGCAGGTGGATCGGGCCTAACCCTGCAGTTGGCCATCCCCCGAGGGGT